AATCCCTGCAGCACCCACAGCAATCCCTGCAGCACCCACAGCAATCCCTGCAGCACCCACAGCAATCCCTGCACCCAGAGCAATCCCTTCCTGCCCCAGATGGGACTCAGGGACACGGCCACAGAGCCCTGCTGGGCCCAGCCCTGCTGTGGAGACACAGGACAGGGACCAGGCACGTGGGACATGAGGGTGGTGGCCTTGGTCGTGGCCAGGCTTTGGGGATGTTCAGAAGTGCCACTGGCCCATGGAACCACAGGATTGTTGTGGTTGGGAAAGTCCTGAGATCATCAACTCCAAGCATCCCTCAGCACTGCACACCCATGTCCCCAAGTGCCACATCTACGTTTTCAGATGGTGACCCCACCACTGCCCTGGCAGCTGTGCCAGTGCCTGTCCACGCTTCCCATGAAGGAATTTTCCCAATATCCAACCTGACCCTCCCCTGGCACAGCTTGGGGCTGTTTCCCCTTGTCCTGTCCCTGTTCCCTGGGGCTCCCCCAGCTGTCCCCTCCTGTCAGGAGCTGTGCAGAGCCACAAGGTCCCCCCTGAGCCTCCTTTTCTCCAGGCTGAGCCCCTTCCCAGCTCCCTCAGCCCCTCCTGGTGCTCCAGCCCCTTCCCAGCTCTGTTCCCTGCCCTGGACCTCTCCAGCCCCTCCAGGTCCCTCTGGCCATGAGTGGCCCAGACCTGTCCCCAGCCCTGGAGCTTTGTCACCGTGCTCAGCCCCCCCAGCTGGGTGGAAGGGCTGGAGCTGGGCTGGGAGCAGCTCTGGAGCTGTTCTGAAGGATGCAGAGACCTTCAGAGCTTTGGGACTTTTCTGGAGCAGTTTTGAAAAGGTTGGAGAGATTTTAAGCGATTCAGAGCCCTTTTCAGAGGAGGTGCACAAGAGCTGGAGAGCTTTGGAGCAGCTCTGATTATTTTTTATGAGTTTTTGAGATGCTTTGGAGCTGTTTTAGGGTTCCCTGTGCCCCTCTGATGTCATTCAGAGGGGGTTTAGGGTAGTTGCAAACTGAGTTTAGAGATATTATTAAAAATTTTAACCCTTTTGAGAGGCCCATGAGGAAGGTCCAGAGGGGTTTCAAGGGCCTTTTGGAGGCTGTTGGGGCACTCGAGGAGTTTCACAGCTGCACAGAGGAGGCTTGGAGAGCTTCAGAGCTGCCAGGAGACCTTTCCTATGATCTGTTTTGAGCTATTTCGAGGAGTTCTAGAAGAGTTTGGAGAGCTTCAAGTGCTACTTCGAGGCAGTTTTGGCATCTTGGTGCCTTGCAGGGCTGGTTGGAGGGGCATGAGAGCTGTTTGAGCAGCTCAAGTGGTTCAGTAATGGCCACAGCTCCATCCTTCCAGAGCCTAGCTGCTCAAAAAGGAGATTTACAGCTCCTTGAAGCCACCCAGCAGCACAGAAATACCCCCAGAGCTGTTTACCTACCCCATTTCTAGAGCAACTTCGAGACTGAGAGGTTGAGATTTCAGAGGAATTTTCAAAAGGAAGCTTCAGAGGTGTTTAGGGAAATCTTTGGTGCACTCTAGAGCTGCTTGGAGGGTGCAGAGCACTTGGGAATGCAACAGAGGTGATTTACAGATGCTCAGGGATGCTTTGGACGTGCTCAGAGATGTTTTAGGGCAGCTCAGAGGTGGTTTAGGGCAGCTCCAGGATGTTTCAGAGGTGCTCAGGGATGGTTTAGAACAGCTCAGGGATGGTTTAGGGCAGTTCAGGGACACTTTGGAGCATGGCAGGGATGTTTTGGAGGAGCTCTAGGATGGTTTTGGGCAGCTCAGGGATATTTTGGAGGAGCTCTGGGATGGTTTTGAGCAGCTCAGGGATGTTTTATGCCACTCAGGGATGGTTTTGGGCAGCTCAGGGATATTTTGGAGGAGCTCTGGGATGTTTTTGAGCAGCTCAGGGATGTTTCATGCAGCTCAGGGACATTTTGGATCATGTCAGGGATGTTTTGGGACAGCTCTGGGATGTTTTGGAGGAGCTCTGGGACGTTTTTGAGCAGCTCTGGGACGTTTTATGCAGCTCAGGGATATTTTAGAGCATATCAGGGATATTTTGGAGGAGCTCTGCGGGTGTTTTGGAGCCTCAGTGCTGCCCTGAGCAGTCTGAAGCGATCTGGGGGGTTTCAGAGCTCCCAGGGTGTGTCAGAGCCTTTCCCAGCTCTTTGCTGCTGCCCCGAGCAGTTCAGAGGAACAGTCTGGAGCCATCCGGAGGCACGGCGGGAGCTGGGAGGGGATTCTGCACGTTCAGGCCCTTTGGGGCGGCTTAAAGGGGTGGGGAGGGGTGGAGGAGGCTTAGAGGGGTGGGGAGCAGCTTAGCAGGGAGCTGAGGGCGTTGAAGGGATTTTGGAGCCGTTCGGAACAGCCGAGCGCTCCGAGGGGCTCTCCCGGCGTGGAGGGAAAGGAAGGGAAAGTTCCGAGTTCCTGCGGGAGGGGAGGGACCCAGAGCCCCGTCCCAGCCTGCCCTGGGCAGCAGGGCCAGCTCCCAGGGTCCCACCTGGATCCTCCAGGAAGGTGAACAGGGAATTCCCCCATTGCCACCCACACAGCTTGGCTGGCTGGGGAGATTCTGGCTCCCTCTGACCTTGATCCCTCTGGAATCAGCGGGGTCCTGCCTTCCTCATCCTCATCCTCCCGAAATCAGGGCATTCCAGCCAAGTCCAGCCTCTCTCATTCTCATTCTCATTCTCATCCTCCATCCTCATCCTCCTCCTCATGCTCCCAAAATCAGGGCATTCCAGCCAGCTCCAGCCCCCCTCATCCTGATCCTGATCCTAATGCTCCCAAAATCACAGCACTCCAGCCAGTTCCAGCCTCCCTCATCCTCATCTTCATTCTCATCCTCCCAAAATCAGGAGATTCCAGCCAGCTCTAGCTTTCCTCATTCTCATTCTTTCTCATTCATCCTCATCCTCCTCCTCATCCTCATCCTCCCAAAATCAGGGTACTCCAGCCAAGTCCAGCCTCCTTCATCCTCACCTTCATCCTCATCCTCCCAAAATCAGGTCCAGCCAGCTCTAGCTTTCCTCATCCTCATTCTCATCCTCATCCTTCTCCTCCTCATCGTCCCAAAATCAGGGTATCCCAGCCAGCTCCAGCCTCCCTCATCCTCATCCTCATCCTCATCCTCATCCTCATCCTCATCTTCATCCTCATCCTCCCAAAATCAGGAGATTCCAGCCAGCTCTAGCTTTCCTCATCCTCATCCTCATCCTCATCCTCATCCTCATCCTCATTCTCATTCTCATTCTCATTCATCCTCATCCTCATCCTCCCAAAACCGGGGCACTCCTTGGTGCAGGAGCATTTCCACTCAAGTCCAGCCCCACTGGAGATGCAGCACTTGGATATTTGGGATGCTCCAATGCAGCACTGGGATCCTCAGGATGCTCTGTGGAAGAACAGTCTCTGGGCAGGAATAGTAACAGCTTTTAATCCGACAAGAATTGATACATCAGTTAAGACAATGCCATTTTTGCCTCTTTTTTTGGGGACTTCCTTCACATAGCGGTTGGGAAAGAGGAACATTTTCAGGATGTACAGTTTTTGTCTTGTTTTTGTTTTTGTTTTTCTCTCTCCATAGGGACTTTAAAGCATGGTGAATGTGCAAGTCAGTGCTTTTTGTTTGCTTAAAACTTTTTTTTTTCCCCCGGTGCTTATTTACAGTTACAGTACCTCTGTGAGAGCGACAGGAAAAAACAAACGATTGTTTGAGACCTGGGGATCCAGGATCCCAAGTCGAGAAAGGCAGATCTCCAATATTTATATATTTATACATATATATATATATATATATATATGCTTTTGTGTATACACAGATACATTTCTCTCTTCTTTTAAAGTATTAAAAAAATGGATCAACCTTCATTCTATAAAAATACCTACTCTACAAGATAGAAAAATTTTCCCTCTCCAAGTATACACTGATTTACACCCAAAGCTTCTCTGGAAATGTACATTACGTGGCTTCTTCCCGCGGCCTCGGGGCAGGGAGGGGAGCAGGGAGGGAGGGCTGGGGTGGTGCAGGGGCTGCCCCGGGGTTTGGGGCTCACCCTGACCCCGCTGCCCCACAGGGATCAGCCCCAGAGTGGCTCGGCCGCTGTCCCCTGGATGAGTGGTGACAGTGTCCCCCTGCACTGGGTCACCCCCAGGGCTGGAGGGGTTTGGGGGGAGCAGGCACCCCCCGGGATTGCTGTGGCTTCTGCTTCCAGGCCGTCCTGGCATTCCCAAACCTGAGGGGCAGGAGGAAGAGGAGCGGCGGGCTGAAGCCGGTGCCGGGGATGGCGCTGGCTGTGGGGGACAGCGGCCACTGCCGGGTCACGCTGTGCCACGGCCGCTGGTGCCAGCGCGCCCAGAGCTGTCTGATGTAAACATGGCTTGTGTTTCCAGGGAGCTGCTGGTGTTCTCCAGCTCCCCTCCCCGTCGGCACAGAGATTCCAGCCCCGGCCGGTGCCAGGGATGAGGAACGAGGGGCTCCTCCAGCCCGGGAACGGGGGAAGGAGCCGGAGCAGGCTCTCCCTCCAGGGCTGCAGCTATCACCAGCAGAGCCCTGCTCCGGCTGGCAATGGCACAGGCCACTGTCCCCAGGCTTCGGGAGGCGAGCTGGCCACCTCGGGGCTCCACTGCAGCCCCAAAGCGCTGCGCGTCCCAGCCAGGGTGAGGAGAGGCGGCCGGAGGCGCTGCAGCCTTGCCCCGGTGCCGCAAGAGCCTGTCCCCAGCTGGGGACGAGGGACAGCTCCTCCCGGAGCCACCTCAGCGGCAGAGCCCGGCAGCAGCAGCAGGAGGAGGAGGAGGAGGAGGGAGCAGAGCCGGGATGCCGAGACGTGCCGACAGTACCGAGCCACGGACAGCAAAAATAAATAAGGAGGCAGGTGACCGAGTGTGCTCACGCCCTGTCCCCGAGAGCCCCGGGCTGCCCCCGCGGGCCCTGCACGCAGCCCGAGCACGGGGCAAGCATGGGCTGAGCCAGCTGGATGAGGCCATTTGCATTAAGTTAATTAAAAAATAAACCAAAACCCCAAACCAAAAGCAAACCCCAACCCTGTGCGAGTCCGGGAGGCGCTGCCCTGGCTCTGCCCGGTGGATGTGTCAGGGACACTTTGGCACAGCGGGGCAAAGTCAGCGCTGTCGCTTCCATCGCCATGTCCCTCGGAGGGGCGGTGCCTGTCGGGACAGTCCCCAGCGCCACAGGCACTCCCTGCAGTGTCCCTTTCCTGAGCTCCTTCTCCAGGTTCCCTTTCACCCCTCCACAGCCAGGAGGGCTTCAAAATAACGCAGTCAGACAACAAAGCCTGCCTGCTGCTTTTCCTTTTCCCTGGTCCGTGGCTCAGTCACTCCCCGACCTGAGGCTTCCTTGTGCCTTCATCAAGTGCAAAGACGTTTGGAGTCCCTCTTCATCCTCTCAGAGCACCAAATCCTCCCGGCTGCACTACTTGACCTCCAGGATGGAGGGGTTGGTCTCCATGATGGCCACGATGATCCTGTCGATGTAATCCTGCAGGCGGAAGTTGATCTCCTCCTGCTTCTGGATTGCTTCCATGAGCTGCAGCACAGGGAGAGGAGGGAGAGCTCACTGCCTGGCACTGCCCAGGGCTCTGTGCATCCATGGCTGGGACATTCCTGACCTTGTTTAAATGGCCAGGGAAAAACTGGTTCTGCTCACTCCTGTGAGCTCTCAGCCTGATGGAGAGAGCTGCCCTGCAGAGAGCAGGGAGCATCACATCTCCATTGATCCCCAAAATATCCAGGTGTGTTTCCCCACTTCCCGAGGTGTTAAAGATGTAATTCCAGTGTTTGTGCAGGCCCAGCCACCCCTGGTTGGTGCTCAGGGAGAAAATGTGCTGGAGGAGCTGGGATGTCCAGGGGGAATGTCCTGGCTCCCAGGGGTTTACAGCCAGCTCCAGACTGATGGACACAGCCCATCAGTGGTGGCTGTCCCAGGGCAGCAAAGCAGAGCTGCCAGACTCAGCAATGGGCAGGGAGCAGCTCCCCTGTTCCCAGCAGGGAGGGCTGGCAGGCAGGGTCAGTCCTGAGAGCTCTGCAGATAATTGTGTGGGGATTTCTCTGCTCTTGCCAGCTTTCAGGGGAATTTTGAGCATGGGCTGGGCCAGACAGGGCACATCCCCTCCTCCCAGCCATGCCAGGTGCAGGCACCCAGGAAGGAGCAGTGTGAGTTCCTCATGGCACATACCTCATCTCTGGAGACAGAGCTGATCTCTGCTGCCAGGGACTCGGAGAAGGAGGCTGAGAACAGGTTCTTGGCTCCCTGGATGCTCAGGTTGATGATCTGCCCATTGAGCTCATCGTTCTGCTCCTTCAGGTTCCTGTTATCCTGTTCACACACACAAACCACACACTGCTGGAGCAGCTGGTGCTCAGAGCTGATCCAGACCAGCAAAGGCAGACAGGGGCTCACCCTAACACAGCTCACACAGGGCTGGGAACAGCACATGGGCTGCTGCCTCCACCTCAGCAGAGCCTGGAGAACCTCTGGAAGCATGGGAACACACTGGGAAGACCCAGGGGGCACAGCAGAGAGAGAAGGGCTCCTGCTGTCCCTGAGAAAGCACCAACTCCCTCTCCCAGCACTGGGCTCCTGGATCCCCTCCAGCCCTGGGAGAGAGCCCCAGACCCTGCTGGTCCTCCCTTGGCATCAGGGAATCGTTTCCCTGCCAGCCCAGCCCTCCTTACCTGCTTGAGCTGCTTGATCTCCTGCTCCAGCTCGGTCTCCCGTGTCCTGCTGTTGTACTCCTGCAGCCCCATGCTGCTGCTGCGGCCCCGGCGCTGCTCTGCCTCCAGCTTGAAGAGCTGCAGGTGCTCCAGCTGCTTCCTGAGGTCCTCAATGAGCTGCAGGGCAAGGCAAGGGGACAGCTGAGTGCCACAGGCCTGCCAGATCCAGCAGCAGCCTCTGGGTGTGGCTGCTCTGGGAGCAGCTCATGGATTGCTGCAGCAGGATTGTTGGCCACAGCAGGGGCTGCCCCTGGATCCCTGGCAGTGCCCAAGGCCAGGCTGGATGGAGTTTGGAGCAATCTGGGACAGTGGGAGCTGTCCCTGCCCATGGCAGGGAGTGGAACAAGATGAGCTTTGAGGTCCTTCTCAACCCAAACCATTCCATGACTGAATTCCTTTCTGGGGGGAGCTTGGTTTCCCCTTGCTCCCTCACACCCCCAGCAAGCAGGAGATGGGGAGCTACTGAAACACATGAGCACAGCCCTGCAAGGACCTTGCTGGAGGGCCAAAGATGCTGAGTTTGGGTCTGCAGCAGCACAGACCCCCCAGCAATGTGGGTCCCCCCCGGGCAGCTCCCTCTGCTGCAGGGTTGGGTCCCCTCAGTGACACCACGGTGACAACTCATTCCACCTTGGGCCAGAGCTCCTTTCCTGCCAGCCCTGCCTGAGCCCCCAGTTCAGAATCAGCAGGCACAGATGATGGAGCACTGGGAGGGTGTGATCCAGCCCAAGCACTCAGCTCTAACCCCTCTCTGCCTCTGCACTGCTCCTTCAGGCAGGAGGGGAAGGGGCCAGGGTGGCACAGCCCCTGCAGGGACAAGGCTGGGTGAATCCCAGAGCAGCACAAGGGACTGAGGTGCTGCAGCTCAGCTCCTGGACCCCTCCCCACTGCCCAGGCAGCACTCCCTGCTCCAGGCACCCATTCTGGAGAGGCTGCCAAGGCCACATTCCCACATTTTGGGGACAGGGCTGTGGCAGGCCCAGACCCCACTCACCTCCTGTGTTGACTCCTTCTCCTTCTGGAACTGGTGCCTCTCCTGACTCAGCTTGTCTCCCATCTTCCTCTTTTTCTCCTGCTCCTCTGTGAGCTGCACAGTGAGGTCCTCAATCTCATCCAGCAGCTTCTGCTTCTCCTGCAAGGACATGAGCAGCCCAGTGAGAGGCCCTGGGGCCCAGCTGGGTGCTGGCTCTGCAGGGAATGCTCCTCTCCTGAGGCACCAGGAGGCTCTGCCTGCTGGGATTCATCTGCTCAGAGCTTGGCAGCACTGAGGGAGCACTCAGGGATGGCTCCAGAGTGACTCCACATGAATATCCACCCTTGTGCTGCTTTCTGGGAAGCACCATGCTGGTGTGGAATGGGCTGGAGCCAGCACGGGGCTCCAGGCCAAGGAGAGACATTAAATCATAAAGCTCCTTATGTCTGGATTTCAGAAAAGTCCTGAATCTGAGATCTTTACCTCCCTCTTGGTTTCAGACATGAAAGGTTTGAATTGAGGGCTGATCCAAGAAGGAACAGAGCAGTTCAAGCTGGGATGTAAAATACACAGGCCAGCTCTGTTCCCTTCTGCTTCCCAAAGCCTTGGCTGAGTGTTTGGGATGCAGGTGAAGATGCCAACAGCCCCTAGAGCAGCACCTCTGCCTGTGCCCAGCTTTCCTGCTTCTTACTCCACCCCACCATCACGGATTCTGGGGGTGCACAAGGAGCTGGGAGGGGACACAGCTGGGACAGCTGATCCCAAAACTCAAAATGGATATTTAATACTAAATGACAACATGTTCATCAATACAAACTGCGGGAAGAATGAGAAAAGGAGGTGTTTGCAACGATGGCATTTGTCTTCCCAAGTCACTGTTGGGCTCCCTGACTGATGATGGAGCTCTGCTTTCCAGGAGATGCCTGAACACCTGTCTGCCTTGGGAAAAAGTTAATTAACTCCTTATTTTGCTTTGCTTCTGTGGGCAGCTGTTGCTTTACTGAATAAACTGTCTTTTCCCTCAACCCCCAAGTTTTACCATTGTTGCCCTTCCAAATCTCCCTGGCTCACAGGTCCCAGCCCCATGGGAAAGGTTTAGGCTTTCAGAACTCCACAAATGGCACAGGAGCCCTGCAGTGCTGGTGATGGATGGCCCCTGGCACACAGGGCTGAGGAGCAGCTCACGGGGGAGCTCCAGATGCTGGCTCTGTGCTGGAACCCTGGCTGTGGGAATTTCAGACTTTCTGTGCTGCCAGGCACTGACCCCCAGAGAACACTGCACTGACCTGAGGCTGTGGAGAAGCTTCCAGAATGGAATGGCAGAACTGGGATTGTGGGTGTGGAGTTTGAACAGAAGTGTGTAATAACCCAGGGTGGAAAACTCACAGTTTAAGGGTTTAGAATACAGTGATATATATAAAGCATGATGGAGGTTTTAGGGCAGAGGCTGCTCCTTCTTCTTCACCTTCTTCTCCATGGGTTTGGGTGGTTTTGTGTAATTGGATAAGAAGTCCACATTGCAGATCAGGGGTGGTTGGTTATTGGGTTAAAAGTAAAAATAATTTAGGTGTTATTTCTTAATTGGACAGTTTATCCTTAAAAGGCCTTGTAGAGAGAGAGAGATGGAGCTCCATTTTTAGTTTGTTAGACTGAAGTGCTGCAGAACTCACAGTTTGTGAGACTGTGACAGAGATAAGAACTAATAAAGATCTGAGCCCCAACAAGAAATACCTTAGTGTGATTTAATCCTGGCCCTGGCAGAAAAGAAGCAAAGACTCCACAGCTCAGGGGTGTCCTGCTCCATGAGCAGCACCAAGCAGGAAAGGCAACAGTGACAACAAAATCCTGATTTTTGGGCACTGGACAGGAGAGCAGCTCATCAGCCAGGCTTGTTCTGGGCAGGGAGGGGCAGTGAGTGCAGCTCCTGCTCCTCCTTCACCTATTCACTGTGGAGGAAAGGAGAATGGCTCTGCATGATGAAAACCAACTTCCCATGGCTGGGAATTCACCCTCAGAGCCACTGGGGCTTTCCTGCCCCCAGCCTGAGCTGTGCTCACCAGGCCCTGGCAGATGAACATCAGGAGGATGGAGCTGCAGAGCTCTCCCATGGGATTAAACACGGATAAAAGGTCCTTCAGCTGGGAGAGGAGGTTTGATCTCAGTTCAGTTTTAACTTTAATTCTGCCCCAAGCTTGGCAGAGACAAAATGCAGCCCCTGCTCCAGGTGTCCCACCTGTAACCCACCCCATCCCTGAAGGTGAGGCTCCTGCCCATCCCAAGGAGCCTGGGGAAGCCCCAGCCCTGCAGGGCCTTGGATCCTGGGCAGGGTGACATGAGAGGGGCTGGGAGGTGACACAGATCTTTGGAAACTCAACTGACAAATCCCAGGACAAGGAGATGGAGCATCCCTGCTCCTCCTCCCGCCCTGCACTGGACTGGCCACAGGGATGGGGACAGGGATGGGGACAGGGATGGGGACAAGCTTCCACAAGAGGGCACGAGTCCCCTCCTGAGCAGGCACTGCCACAGGGATTTATCAGGGGTTTATTCCCAGCTTCCAGGCTGAACAGTGGGAGACTGCAAGGATAACTGTGTGGGATAGTGCTGTCCAAAGTAGGGTCTGCAGAGACTGGAAAATGGAAGCAAATGGTTTGTTACATTAAATGGATCTTGTGTTCATGAAAATTCATCCCAAAGCCAGAATTTCATCCCAAAATCAGGATTTCATCCCCAAACCAGGCACCCTGTGGCCTCACCTCCTCAAGCCTCTCAATGTTGGCTCTCAGGCAGGGGACACAGGACCTCAGCTCGCTGTTCTCATCATCCAGCTGCTGCAGCCTGCAGAGGGAACGGGTGTGAGACTCATCCCAGCATCCCACATGGGGGAAAAACCTCCCCAGGAATATGAAACCCAAGGGAAGGCAGCAGGGATTCATCTGTTCAAGGCAAACCCTGAGATGTTTCTGCTGCCAGGAGGAAGAGAGGGGCATCTACACAACCCTGACATCCACCAGCTCCAGTGCTATTCTTTGTTCCAAGGGTTTTTCTGTTCCTGCACAAGCCCCAGCAGCAGAGACAGCAGAGCAGGGGGTCAGAGAGGGCTTTGGGTTTGCATTCCCAGGTAGAACCCCACTGTCTTTACCTTCCATGGACTGCATGAGATGAACTACAGCAAAACACTTTGGGGAAGATGGAAAAGCCCTGTCAAATACCTGACACCTCTCCCACCCCACTTCTGCCTTTGGAATCCACCAGGCAGCACAGAGCACCCTGGCTGGGACACTCTGCCTCTTTCCCAGCTGTTTGTCTGTTTCCATCAGGGTGGAAAACATCTGGGCATCAAAAGTACCCCAAGGGGTGATTTATAGGAAGCAGCATTGACAAATCCCCTCTTCATCCCCTCACTGCAGGACAGGCATGTGGATAAAGGGTGGGAGCTCAACTTAAAATGCATCAGAGCAGCTCAAATAAAGAACCCAAGATTAGGTCTGTGGGGCAAAGGTGGAAATAACCAAAACTCAGGGTTTGTGGTGATTTTAGTCACCCCTTGAACCCATTAAACTCCCTGCCTGCCTCCCTGTACCCCCCAAGGCTGCCTGGGCACAGATTCTGGGCTGGCTCCAGGAGAGATGCCCCCCCAGCCCCACCTGGCCTGCAGGTTCTCGATCTCAATGCTCTTCTCCCTCTCCATTTTGCTGAGCAGCTCCCTCTGCTTCTTGATCTCCTCCAGCAGGGTCTGGTCAGCCCTCAGCTCCTGCTCCTTCAGCTGCTCCTCGAGTGCATTTGCTCTGCAGAGAGGACAAAGAGGGGATTAAACTGCCCTGAGGAGCAGCTGCCATCCCAAGGCAGGGACCAGTCTCCCCTCCCAGCCCCTCTCCCACCCCTCAGGTGAGCTGGGAGCAGCAGATGGTAAAACAGAACAAGCTTCCAGGGAAAACACAGCAATGACCATCTCAAACAGCTCCACTGCATCCCAGCAGATGCAACAGGAGGAGCAGCACCTCTTCCATCACAGTCACCACCAAGTCAGGTTCCTTAAGGAACACAAGCATGTTATTCAATTTCCAGCCTGGGAAAGAAGTCTATTTTTAATTATTTTTAAATGTCTTCTATGCATTAGAATTATTTCCAAGTGCAGCCACACACATAGACATCTCTTCATGGGAATCTCAGAGTCACTGAGGTTGCAAAAGACCTTTAAGAGCTTCTAAGCCAAACAAAAATCCCAGGGTTTGTGGTTGCACCTGCAGCAGCCATGGCAGAGAAATCCTCCTTCAGCTGTTTCCAGCAGGAAGTGGTCTCATTGCTCAGAGAAAAGGCAACAGCCTCAATCCCTCTTATTTTCACTCTCTTGTGATCCCAACAAAAACCAGGGGATCTGCAGGTCACCCATGCCTGTCTGTCAGCAGAACTGCAGATCACAGAATCCCAGACTGGTTTGGGCTGGGAGGGACCTTAAATCCCACCCAGTGTCACCCCTGCCATGGCAGGGACACCTCCCACTGTCCCAGGCTGCTCCCAGCCCTGCCCAGCCTGGCCTTGGGCACTGCCAGGGATCCAGGGGCAGCCTCAGCTGCTCTGGGCACCCTGTGCCAGGGCCTGCCCACCCTCACAGGGAACAATTCCTCATTCCCAATCTCCCATCCAGCCCTGCCCTCTGGCAGTGGGAGCCATTCCCTGTGTCCTGTCCCTCCATCCCTTGTCCCCAGTCCCTCTCCAGCTCTCCTGGAGCCCCTTCAGGCCCTGGCAGGGGCTCTGAGGTGTCCCTGGAGCTTCTCCTCTCCAGGTGAGCACCCCCAGCTCTCCCAGCCTGGCTCCACTACCCCAGGTTGCTCCAAGCCCTGTCCAACCTGGCCATGAGCAGGGATGGGGCTGGAGCTGGAATTTCTGCAGTGGCTTTGCCCAGGAGAAGGCTTTTCCCAGCTGATCCCACCCTCCCCAGCACCCAGCTCACCCAGAGCCAGCAGACACTTCCAGGCCAAGCTGCTGAAGTGAAAACATTTCCCTCACTCCCAAGTTTATCAGGGCTTAGGGAAACCTTTGTTTGAGAGGCTCAGTTCCCTGACAGGACTGTTACTTAACAGAATTACAGCCCTATAGATAAACTCTGCTGGCTTTATCTGCCCAGGGTACAGCTATGCTGGGAGAGAGGAGCCTGGCAGATTAGCACACACAGGGATTACATCATGTGGGATCCAAAGGGCTGCACCCTGGCCTGGATCCAGCAGGAGGCAAGCCTTGGAGCTCCAGGGACCATTTGGGGCAGGAAAATATATTAAACATAAATATGATATGATGTAAATACGGCCATGATATAAATATAAACATGATATAAATATAGCCATGATATAAATATAACCATGATATAACTATAACAAAAATATAACTACAACTAACTATAACTATAACTATAACTATAACTATAACTAAAAATGTTTTTAAAAAAATCAAGACCCAGAGTTCCAGAGACCTTTTGGGAGGGACACATGGAGCAGGGAAGCACATTAAAAAAAACAAACAAACAAATCAAAAGACAAACAATAATAACAACAAAACCCCATCCTGAGTAGGAAGGGAGCCACAAAGATCATGGATTTCAACTCCCAGCCCTGCACAGACACCCCAACAATCCCACCCTGAGATCATTGTCCCAACACTCCTGGAGCTCTGGCAGCCTCAGGGCTGTGCCCATTCCCCTGGGCAGTGCCAGCACCCTCTGGGGGAAGAACCTTTCCTGATCTCCACCCTGACCCTCCCTGATATAGCTCCAGCAATTAAAAGCCACATGTAAAAACCACCAAAAGCCAAGTCCTGCAGCTCCAGAGAACTTAAGGCCATAAAATACAAAATCTCCACGTCACTGTGTCCTGTTTTCAGCTGGGATGGAGTCAATCTCCCTGGAAAGGGCTGTGGTTTGGATTTGGGAAGGGACTGAAGCAGGAGGAGGGGGGGAAAGGCCCCAGGTGAGGCTCTCACCTGTGCACCAGCTGCAGGTTCTCCTGCCGGAGGCGGCTGTGCTGCTCCCCGTTGGCAGCCGTGTCCTTCTCCAGCTCCGTCACCCGCTTCTCCAGGAACACCACCTGCAGCAGGGACAGGGATCAGCCTCTGGGCAGCCCCAAACCCAGAGCAGCCCCCCACAGCATCCCCAAACAAGCAGGGCTCCCACTGGAACTGAGCACTCATGCCTTGTGTATCAGCATCCCTTTAAAACACCCTTTTCCACCTGGTTTCCCAGGTTCTGATGGCTCCTGTGAACCAGTTTGGGGTCAAACACTTCACTCTTTCCTTTCTTCAACCCCTTCCTGATAGCAACCTAAAAGCAATCTAGAGGGAAAGATCCTGGTGGATCCCCAGAGCTCCATGTGCAGCCCTGAGGCTGGATAACTCCCCACTGCCTGGAACAGGATGGAAACGCTGAATTTACAGATGGAGGGATCAATGACAGCTGGTAGGGAAGGAAAAGAGTTGTGGATTTTCTCCCTGTACCTCCACAGGGTTTATTCCAGCTGTATTTGCATTTAATTCATTCCAATTCCATATAAAACAATCCTGGGGGAGAATAAATGAGGAGCATGTCCAGAAAAGCCAAACTCTGGCTCTGGGAGAAGGGCAGGAGACATGGGAGTGTTAAAGAGGCCATGCAGACACACAAGGCCTTTCCCAGCAGTGCCTTTTCCATCAAAGGTTTCCCAAGTCAAATGCCTTAAGGAACTCAACTATTTTATTCAACTTCCCCTTGGAAAAATGTTGTTATTTATTTATTTTTCAAAGGTTTTCCCTGCATTATAATTATTTCTGAGTGCAGCTACACACATACACATTTCTCTTCCACACCAAACTCCTCAGGACATTCACATTCCAGAGCTAAAAGGCCATTTCCAAGGAGTTTCAGGACTTCAGTAGACATCTGCACAATCTTAGCTTCTTTTCCCTGTTTTTTAACTAGGAATACTCAAAATCTTTCTTGTGCTCCCATCTTATCCTACAACTCTTTTCTTGTGATACCTCAGGAAAATCCATCAGCATCAGTACAAAACCAACCCTACCCTGACAGCACGAGCAGAGTGTGACAGCATGAGCAGAGTGTGCCAAGGAGAGGAAGTTTCTCTTTCACATTGGGTGGGCTGCCTCAGAAAAGCAGAACAACATCTTGTGTGAAGGAGAAGTGAAACTGCTGCCTGTGAACAGCCCAATCCTCCTCCCAGCACTCTGGGGGAAGCCACAGCCCCTGGAGAAGATGCAGTGTCACCTCCTGACCCTGCAGAGCGTCTGGAGCGCTGCTCTGCTCCTCCATCCCCTCCATGGGGAGGGCTCATCTGAAGGGAGGAGCCTCACCCTGATCCTGCCTGGGAACACTGCAGGGTCCCACAGACTTTACTCCAGAACCCTTTCCTCTCAACATTTCAGCAAAGCTCAGGGCAGCAGCACGCGGAGGAGGCCCCACCTTGTCGGTGATGTCCTCGTCGGTGCACTCCAGGCTCTCCCGGTAGGATTCCTCCATCACCCCCACGGCCAGCGAGCTCGTCTGGTGCAGCTGCCTGAAACAGAGACAAACCACCCCGACCCACAGCAGCAGCGGCATCAGCCCCAGCACCGGCACCATGGCGACACCAGGTGACAGCGGCCGGCCCGCCGCCACCTCCCGCCCTCCTCAGCCTCTCCAGAGGATCTGCTCTCTCCGAGTGCTGCTGTCCCCTCACCACGGAGCTGTCCCGGGAAATCCAGCGCTCCAACGTGGACACGGGGCCGGGACTTCACACCGCGATCATTGATTGCTCTTTGGAATGGGGAGAGATAAGAGCTCCCTCTTCCCACTTTCCTTCTTTAGCCCAGCCCCAAGGCCGTGCATTATCCAGCACAGGCCAGAGTACTGCCAGGGCTGATAAGGCTGGGAAGAAGTGGGGTGCAAGGGGAGGGAGGGGGGCAAACCCCCCGAGGCTGCTGTGACCCCCCAGCCTGGGTGAGCTAATCATTAACGAGGCCTCGTGACAGCAGTGTCCCAGCTTTGTGACAAACGAAAGGAGATCCTGGCTGCTCAGTGTCCCAGCTTTGTGACCAGCTAAAGGACGCTCTGGAGAGGGGCTGCTCGGTGTCCCAGCTTTGTGACAACCTAAAGGACACCTTGAGGAGGGGCTGCTTGGGGTCCCCAGCTTTGTGACAAACCAAAGGGCACCCTGGGAAGGAGCTGCTTGGTGTCCTCAGTTTTGTGGCAAGCTGAAGGACACCCTTAGGAGGGGCTGCTCGGTGTCCCAGCTTTGTGACAAGGAGGGGGAACCAAGCAACCCCTTCCCAGAGTGCCCTTTAGCTTGTCACAAAGCCAGGGACACCCTGAGAGGCTGCTCAGTGTCCCAGCTTTGTGACCAACTAAAATACACCCAGGGAAGGGGTTGTTTGCTGTCTCAGCTTTGTGGCAAGTTAAAGGACACCCTGGGAAGGGGCTGTTTGGTGTCCCCAGATTTGTGACAAACTAAAGGACACCCTGGGAAGGGGTTGTTTGGTGTCCCCAGCTTTGTGACAAACTAAGAGACACCCTGGAGAGGGGCTGCTTGGTGTCCCAGCTTTGTGACAAACTAAAGAGTACTCTTGGAAGGGGCTGTTCGGTGTGCCAGCTTTGTGACAAGCTAAAGGACACTCTGGAGGGGCTGCTTGGTGTTTCCAGTTTTGTGACAAACTAAAGGACGCCCTGAGGAGGGGCTGCTCGGTGTCCCCAGCTTTGTGGCAATCTAAAGGACACCCTGAGGAGAGGCTGCTCGGTGTCCCCAGCATTGTGACAAACCAAAGGACACCCTGGAGAGGGGCTGCTCCCTCAGCATGGCTGTGAATCTGCCCTGGAGAGGGGGTGTGTTCCAGCCCTGGCACCCCAGGCAGGAGAAGAACACTCTGCTCTCCTGCTTTGAGCAGAGGATGGATGACAAAACCACAGAGGTCTCTTTAAAGTTCTGTTGTTCCCAGGAATTTGTACCATTGGCTCTTGAAATCCTCCCACTCCACAGTGTGTTCATGCCAGGACTCACTAAGCACAACTGGCATTTACCAAGAGACCACAGCCTGATTTTACATCCTCACCCTCAGTTTCTATTTAGATTTTAAAGTCTCAGGCACATTTGTCATTTAAATGGTGCCAAGCACAACAGGGCTTAAGCAGCTGAGATTTCTTGGCACGAGCAGAACCCGGATAAGAAAAATGAGGAAAGAGCCCTTACCAAAATAAAATCAATTTTCTAAAAGCAAATGTTTTGGGATTATTCACTAATTACAGTATCTGCAACAAACGATTTGCTTTGGGCTGAGCTTAAGGATCTGGCTGGGCAAAACCCTGTTATCTCCCTCCTTATCACAAACCAAACCTGACTGCTCTTGAATTAACTAATATTTACACAAGCCCACACACTGCTGCCTCAGAAAAGCAAAGGGCCAGGAGGGCTCAATCCCCCATAAGATAGGGTATCTCTGTTCCCAAAAGTTTAACTCAAATCCTCCCAAAATTATCTGTGCTAGGCACGGGACAAAAACGAGTCCTAAAACAGGAAACCTGGGGACAGACTGCTCCCCTTAGCCCTCCTTCCTGCCAGTGTTTTTAACAAAGCTCTAGAAAGCAAGATGAGTGGAAGTAGGAAATGTAATATCAAGGATCTGCTTCCTTTCCAGGAGGGGAACCATGCCAGGGGAGATTGCTGAGTGCAGGAAAAATGGAGAAGGGAAAGGTGTGAGAGCACAGTGGGAGGAAGAGGTGCAGGAAAGCTGCTTGGTCAGCACAGGGAGCAGAGAGAGTGTCAGGAACAGCAACGTTCCCAAACTGAGCTGCCTGCTCCTCCACAGTGTCCCTGTCCTGCTGGGAAACCAGCAAGGAGAAATGCAACAAGTGCAGAGGCGAATCTCCCTCCTGAGCGTGGCAGAGGCAGAACAGAGAGGTAAGAGTCAGTTTATCCTTAAAATCAGGATGGCATGGGACAGGAGGGATGGGGGAGCTGGGAGAGGAGGAAAGGTGAGCACCAGGTGACACTGAGAGGGGAGGGAAGGACCCCGTGCTCCAGAGATCTGCCTAGATATATCCAATACATCCAATATCCCTGGGGATATGCTCACACAGAAAAGGTGACTGACATCACACAAGGTGGTTGTGCAGGACAGAAGCAGCACAGCATTAAACCTGGGCTTAAACCAGGGCTAAACCAGGGTTAAAATTCAACCAGAGCCATCTGCAGCCCACCCAGGTGTCCCAGAGCCCCTGACTGAGCAGGGGGAGCTGCTCCCACAAAGCCAAATGCTGAGGGGGACATGGAATGAAGTAAAACAGGACCAAGAGATGTCTGAGGCAGATGGAATTTTGGGGGTGCTGGAGAATCCCTCCAGGTGGGGTACTGACTGGTCTGGTCCTGCAGAACTCTGCAGACGTGGTGATACTGGGAGGGATCCCAGACTGGGACATATCCCAGAGGAACATGTCCTTCTAGAGACTCCTTCCCTGCTCCATGTGCCCCCTGCTAGGGCACTGGCAGGACAGAGTGTGAGGAAAAGCCCCCCCCCATTTTTCCTCAAGGAATAAGGTTGCCAGCAGCCTCCAGCTGTGTGCACAAGTGAGAAACCCCCATTCCAGAAAAAAGATCCCAGAATTAAACCAATTTTTCCCCAGCACTATGGAATATATCCAGAAATACAACCCTCCAAGCTTATTTTGAGTTTTCTTTCTATGGAGCTGGCAGCTCACACGGATCAAGCAAACAACAACAGGAGTATGAGCTTACCTTGCCACCTTCTTGCTGGAAAGTCTTTTATTGGGACTGCAAAATGAAGAAAAAACAGGAAAGAGTTAGAAAAGCTGACAGTGGAGAGCCAGGGAAACAGGAAACTGCATGGAGTCCGGGGCACATCCTCTGCTCTGGCAGGGAGCCCTTGGCATGCACCCCCAAACCCCTGGGAAGGGCAGGAGAGGGGCCACTCCTGTGCTGAAGAACAAGGAATAACAAAGCACATGGAATAATGCTGGAGGAGAGCTCGCTGCCCCCTGCCACGCTCTGCTCTCCTGCTGATCCCTGCCTGAAAACCGATCCCCAAGGAAAGAGCTAAGAATAGCAGGGAGCCTGGGGGGGCTGCAGCCTGGTGCTGATGACACACTGAGCCACATGTCCTGCACCCAGGGCACCCCAGGCCACCCTGCCATCCCCAGAGCTCCCCTGCACTGGGCAACACCAGCACATCCATCTTTCTGCCATGATCCCACTGATCAATCCATCCTTGTGCCCTTCCACAGCCACCATGCCACTGCTGGGCTCTGGGTCACCAGGAAATGCTGCCTGCTCCTGGCCCAGAGGCTTTAGGAGCTCTTGGTGGTGTCCCTGTCTGGATTTTGAGCATGGCACTGCTGCAGTGGCTGGGAAGGGGATGAGCTCTCTCTCCTTTTCAGGGATAACTGACAGGAATCACTCCTTGGATCCATGTCTGAGCCAGCTGGTCCATGCCACAGCGGTCAGGGATCAGTGTCACCACAGGACCAGCAGCCAAGGGCTGTGTCACTGTGTCCCACCTGCAGGGGACAGGCAGCAGGCTCTTCCTGCTGAGAAAAACCAGCCTTTTCCACAAGCAGCTCCTTGCTGAGATGCTCCTTCCAGTCTTCTGGTCCTGACTGGTGCTGGGGAAGTGGACAGGGCTTGGATCTCACTCCTCATCTTCCACCCACACTGGTGTCACAAGATGCCACACCAAATCCTTACTCAGCAATGGCAGCAGGAACAGCTCCAATCCAAGAAGCAGCAGCTGCATTCCCTGGTGCTTAGCTCAGTTTTAGGAAAAAATAACAAAATCCTCTGGAAGTCCACTCCTGCCTGGAGCTGCAACACGAGTTCTTCGAAGGAGGGATTAAAAATAGCTTAGGACAATTTGCTTTGTAAAGCAACCCCCAAACCTGACTGGGGGCTGTTGTGAGGGTGACCAGCCCTGGGTCAAAGTGCATCCTCAAATCCCAGACTTCCAGGGAGCACAAGAGCTGCTGCTGGCTGGGCTTCAAGGCTGCTCGGCGCCCAAGGGCAGGAGGTCAGGCCCTGGTGTTTGCCAGGAATTGTAAGGAATGGCTCCAGCACTGGGGGGAAAATATTTTCCTCTGGAAAAATCTCCTGGGGAAGCGATGGCACCTGCAGTGTCCAAAGGCTGAGACACCAGCAAGGGCACTGTAACAAAACAGAGGCACAAAGCACTTCATGCCAAGCTCCTGGAGGCGTCTTCCCTGCTTTCCCAGGCTGCACTCCAATGCTGGGAGCAAGCTCCCCAGTTTGTTCCAAGGATAAAACACTGTCTGTGTGCCCACAGTTCTTCTGAGTGAGGCTGTTCTGGGGTGCTTTGGGCTTCATCCCAGCTGCCAGAATCCCCTGGAGGAGGTGTCCTCAGGCTTGTCCCAGATTTTGGTCCAGTTCCTGCTGCTCCAGGATTTGTCCTCTCTCTGAGGGCCTCAGGTCAGTGGTGATGCAGGGAGGAGCAGCAGGTCCTGCATGTCCCACACACTGCACAGGACACCTCCCATGCACAGCACACAAACAGGGGGCACTGCCCCTTCCACACAGGCCCTTGGAATGTATTCCCAGTAAATGTGTACTTGGTGAGCCCTGAACACAGATGGAGGAATTGCACCTACTCACAGGGCAAATCAAAGCCTGTGGAATTCCCACCATGATGGGACAGAGAAGCTCCACAGGAAATCCCACCCATCACAGGAGGCTCTGAGGTGTTAGCTCAGCTTTGCAGGTAGATGTGGGGGAGAAAACCTGAAATGGAGTGGGGCTTCCAGGGAAAACCAGTGTTCTCCTTAATACCTGCATAACCTGAGACCCATCACTGACCCTCAAGGCCTCCAACAGCAAAGACAACTATTTAGCCAAGAAAAACAAAGGGAGAGACCTTTTTTTCATTAAAAAGAATGAAATTCAAGCTCCTATTTGTTTTGCAGTTCTCCTCCCATAGACCAGGAGAGCCCCCAGATCACACTGTCCCTGCAAAGGACAGACAGAGACCAAGAACATGACAAAAACCAGGTCTGAATAGCCACAATACCCATGAAAAGAAAGATTTATCACCCAATGCCACCATCCTTCCACCCAGAGGGCTGCAACCAGCTCTGAATGAACAAATCAACAGGCAGAAATCCCTCTCCACTTGTCAGACACCACATCCAGCTGCTGCCTGGGAGACCTCCAAAACTCCATCCAAAACCTCCTGATGTTCCTGGTGTCTGTCACATCTCCCCAGCCCATGGTGACACCGGGGTGGGCAGGCTGTGGGTGAAGCTGGGTGAGATGAGACTTTACTGCTCCTTGTGGAGCAGGCTGATGCCTTCAGGTTGTTCCTGCAGCAGGAGGATGGGCTGTTCCTGCCCTTGCACACAACTCCCAGTCTTTCCTTGGTGACAGAAATACTGTACATGGCTGTCACCCTGATTTTTTAAGATTTTCTAAGCCTTCTGATGTTTATATTCTTGTAATGAACTTTCTCACCCACTTTCTGTAAATAACTTATTGGCTTGCATTCTTTTATAAAAGAAGAAAAATCTGATAGACTGTTGGTTTGTCCAGTGTCATTGGAGCGGTGGCACTTTCACCCTCCAATCCACTGGCACTTTTAGAAATCTATAAAAATAAACTCCCCTTTTCTCACCTTGAGAACAGCAGTGTGTGTGCTCGTGTTGTTTTGTGTCCTGTAGTGACACATGGGCAGCTCACTGCTCCCATGGAACCCACCATGCACAGGCATGCAAAGGGCAGGGAATGCTCTCCTTGTCTGCCAGCCCCCTGTCTGCATCACAGGCACCTCCTGCTCACACTCCATGAGCTCCCCACCACCTCAAACACCTGCAGAGCCTCCTGTGGCTGGGTGAAACTCATCCCCTCCCCACCAGCACACAGAGGGAAAAGCTGTGCCAGACAAGGAGAGCCTCCCCATGCAGAACATCCTTCCCAGGCTGGGATGGCCATGCACATCCAGTTACCTATTCATCTCAAGATCATTGAGGCGAGCAGAGAGATCCTCGAGGCGGTTGATTTGTTTGTGGCACTGGCTACAGTAAAACTCAAAAGCTTCATCTGCGAGAATGCTGTGCAGTTTGGCAGCGAGGGGATTGGTGCTAGAGAGATCACAAGGGTCATGTCAACAGCACAGAAGGCACAGGGAGCAGCTGCAGCCGTGGCTTCCACAAGCTGGGGGTACCTCAAGGTAGGGGAATTGTTGGTGGGAGGTATGAAATTTGAATTAAAATCTCAGGGCAGGTTGGGTTGCCTCCCACCATGGTTTCGAAGCCAAATTAAAACCAGTGTAGGGATGCTGAAAATAATATATACAGCATTTCTAATTTAGAATAATTAATAACAATATACAAATAATTGATAATTTGTAGTTGCTCAATAGTTTATATATACTGAGGATACCTCAATGTAGGGGAATTGTTGGTGGGAGGTATGAAATTTGAATTAAAATCTCAGGGCAGGTCGGGTCGCCTCCCACCATGGTTTTCGAAGCCAAATTAAAACCAGTGTAGGGATGCTGATAATAATATATACAAAATTTCTAATTTAGACTAGTTTATAACAATATGTAACTAATTGATAATTTGTAATTGCTCAATAAAATTTATATATACTGAGGATACCTCAAGGTAGGGGAGGTTTTGGTGGGAGCTATGAAATTTGAATTAAAAAACTCAGAGCAGGTTGGGTCGCCTCCCACCATGGTTTTCGAAGTCAAATTAATGCCAATGTGGGGTTGCTGATAATAATGTATAGAAAATTTCTAATTTAGAATAATTTATAACAACATGCTGCTAATTGATAATTTATAATTGCTCAATAGAATTTATATATACTGAGGTTACCTCAAGGTAGGGAATTTTTGGTGGGAGGTATGAAATTTGAATAAAAAACTTAGGACAGGTTGGGTTGCCTCCCACCATAGTTTTCAAAACCAAATTAAAACCAATGTGGGGATGCTGATAATAATATAGAGAACATTTCTAATTTAGAATAATTTATAACAATATGCAGCTAATTGATAATTTGTAATTGCTCAATAGAATTTATATATACTGAGGATACCTCAATGTAGGGGAATTGTTGGTGGGAGGTATGAAATTTGAATTAAAATCTCAGGGCAGGTTGGGTGGCTCCCACCATGGTTTTTGAAGCCAAATTAAAGCCAGTGTGGGGTTGCTGATAATAATATATAGAACATTTCTAATTTAGAATAATTTATAACAATATGCTGCTGATTGATAATTTGTAATTGCTCAACAGAATTTATATAGTTGATAATTAGCAACACTTCCATCACCCTCCTCCTAGAGACTCCCAGCATCTGAGCTTGGCCCACATTTCCAAACCCCTGAACCAATCTCAATCCCCAGGAGCCCAGGGCAGGTGAGATAAGTGCTTCCCACAAACCTACACCACTGAAAAGTTTATTTTCCAGCAGGATTTTCCAGGCAATCTGTCTCAGGAGGCTCCTGGTTTGCCTCAGTAAGTGCAGAATGAACTTGCACACTGCAGGACTGGGTGCTGTGGGCCAGGGCTGAATCTAAGGGGGATTTTAATGGATTTTAGGAAAAGGTTTTTCCCCCAGAGGGTGCTGGGCACAGCCCTGAGGCTGCCAGAGCTCCAGGAGTGTCTGGAGGATGCCCAGGGTGGGATTGTTGGGGTCTGTGCAGGGCCAGGAGCTGCTCTGGATGATCCTGGTGGGTCCATTCCCACTCAGGATATTGTGGGATTCCATCATCCTTTGGTCAGTGTCCCACTTTTCAATGGGATGCTTTAAAAGTAGAGCAGCTGTGCTGCTGCAGACCTGCCTTAGTAAAGCACAGAGTCAGATTTTCACTGGAAACTTTTCACTTTAAAGCCAAGATGAAATGGATAGGTGCAGTTTAACACCTCACTCCTCCAAAGCACAGCCCAGCAGCAGTGCTGTGCTCCTGCAGGGATTGCCATTTGGGAAGGGCCATGGGGGTCTGTAGGGCTTTCACAGCTTGGGAAGCTGGGAGATATTTCCTCATGATTTGGGCAGGACAGAGAGGATTCTCAACTGCAAATGGTTTGTGTTCATTTGGGGCCAGACTCCACAAACCCTTCCTGTGCTTCTGGAAGCCACGGATGTGAATCAAAGAAAGGTTAAATAGTGAAAAACCCAAGCAGTTCCATAAGAGAGACAGGTAAAGGTGTGAGCAAACACAAGCAAGATAAACCCAACAGGCATCAGGGAGGGGCAGTGAATCCTGGGATACACAAACACACCAGAAACTCCTGGCCTGGGGCATCCTGAGGGTGCCCTGGCCCAGTCCCCAGCCCAGGGTCAGGCCTGGAGGCTGTGCTGTCTGTACAGTATTCCCCAGCCCCCTCAGACAGGCTGGACACCAGCAAATGCCAAATTATCATCTCTTCCTATTCCTGGAAAAAAAAATCAATTGCAAACCATTCCCCTGCCCCTCAGGGCAGGTGTGGCCCCAGGATAACCTTCTCCCAGCAGCAGACAGGTTGGTGGCTCAGGGTTTGTGCAGGGAAGAGGTGACAGTGGCACCTGGGAGAAGGGATGTCCCTTTTCTGGGTGCTCTTGGGTGCATTCCCTTCCCAGGTGGTGCAGCCTGGGCCAGGTGGGAACCCAAATTTAACCAGCATTAATCAACATGAGAAGAGAAGTGTGGAGGAGAAGCCCCAGGCCAGGCTGGCAGCTCCTGGGGTGTGTGCAGACCCTGCTGGCCCCGGGCCGCCCTGGCTCCCTGCCCCTGGAGTGGGTGAGAGCTCAGCCCTGGGCTGTCCCCACCCACTCCAGGATGCTGATGGGTCCCCTCCAGCTCAGCACATTCTGTGGTTGTACAACACAGAGCCTCCCTGGGCCTCCCTCCATCTCCTGGAGCAACATTTGTCTTCCCAGGTCCTTCCTGTTGGCTGGGATGGGCTCAAGGAGCTTTTCCTTTGATTTCCCACTGAGAGCTGCAAAGAGGCTTTTCCACTGGATGGATATGCAAGGGAAGAATCAAGAGGAGGGATCACAAAGAAGGCCTGGGCAGGGAAGCACTGCACCCCACAGTGTTCCCTGAAGGCTCTTGGGGTTTGTGTTCATCCTCTGGAGTTGTGGCAGGAGAATTTCTAGAAATTATTCCTATTTAGAGACTTCTGTAGCATGGAAAGGGGCTGTGGTGATGTGATGCTGTTCTTTGTATTCAAAATACAGCCAAAAACCCATTCAGCCTGAACCAGGGACAGCCTGTGTTTAAACACACTGGGGCTGCTCAGGCATGGAATGGTTTGGGTGGGAAAGGACATTAGAGCTCATCCCACCCCACCCCTTCCACTATCCCAGGTGGCTCCAAGCCCTGCCCAGCCTGGCCTTGGGCACTGCCAGGGATCCAGGGGCAGCCACAGCTTCCCAAGGCCTGCCCACCCTGCCAGGGTACAATTCCCAATTCCCAATATCCCATCCAGCCCTGCCCTCTGGCAGTGGGAGCCAATCCCTCTGTCCCTTCCTACCCAAAGTCAGAAGAGCTGCACAGACTCAGGGAATGTTTAGGGCAGGATTTCACACACACAGCAATAATCCAAGGGAAGGCTAGGCCTGAGAGGCATGAGGAAATCCTTCAGCTCCAACAGCCCCACATTCCTGACTCCAGAGGCTTTGCAGGGTTTATCTGCAGCCTCCCTCCCCAGCAAGCCCCAGCAGAGAAGCTCCAGCACAAACCACCACGAGCTGTGTGGCCACGTGCCCAGGGAGCCCCTCCCAGCACAGGGAAGATGGGATAAGGTGTGGATCAGATCCAGAGACAGAGCAGAGCAGAGATGCTGCTCTGGCAGAGCAAGATTGGAACACTGGCAGCGTGGGCAAACTGGGAGCTCTGGCCTGATGTTAAAGAAAATTTCAAGAGATTGAAAAGCTCCTTTAGCTGGGTATTTCCTTGCCAGGAGCCTTCTGGATGAGGCTGGCAGGAAAAATGAACACCAAGGCTGGGTTTTAACCAGAGTTCTTCCTGTGCCACAGCACCAGCACAGCCAGCCCCACATTCCTGCACTGAGTAAGGACAAGCAGGGATCAGAGACTGTGCAGGGTATCCCAGTGCTGGAACACTGCTTTCCTAAAGGGAAAGGTTGGGAATTCTTTACAGCAACTCTCCTATTTGCCATTAACACCTCCAACATTGCTGCTGCACCAGCCAAAAAGAGATGAGCCCTGACCTGCTCTTCCCTGCCAGCCCTGTGCACCCAGAATTGTCCAAACTCCATGAAGGGTTTGGGAAGCTGGGAAAAACAGGAAGATGGGAAAAAAAAAGTTTTGAGAAGTTTACATGGTTGCAGAAAGGCACAGATGTGTCATTCCAAAGAGAAAGAAGTCTTTATAGTTTTGTCTTTAGCACAGGTGTGTGGCTGGCAGGGAATCTTGCCCTGTGCAGAGTTGTGCCTCCAATGCAGGAACACATTCCCAGTGTTACCTGTCATCCCAGACACTTTGTGGGCTGGATGATATTCCAGCTTTTACTAATTTTCTTTAGACAGTAAGTATTGATAGGGTGTGTACCACCCCACCAGCTCCTCAGCCCATCCTGCTCAGACTGGAAAATGGAACTTTTTCCTGGTTTCAGACCCTAAAGCAAGGAGGAAACGCTACAGCCTGCTTCCTGCTCTGCACATCCCTAGAGAAGGAATGCTGCTGCAGCTCATGCAAATCCAACCAAACATTGCATCAAAGCCCAAAATAATAAAAGAGGGAAAAACCATGAGAGTCATCCTGCAGGATCAGGAGTAAAGCTGCAGGTGGTTTTCTCTCCTGGAGGGTTCAGTGAGGGAGAGTGTGACACTGGAGTGAGAATGTGACACTGGAAATGCAGACAGCTCTTCCACCTCCTGCTGGGTGTCACAGGACGGGTACTGACCAGGGAAAGGAACCACCGTGGGGGAATTCCTCCTCCACTTCCAAGACCATTATCCCCTTGAATCCAGAGTCTGCCAGGCTGGCAAACCACAGGGAAACCCCAGTCCCACAGAGCAGAGTGAAGCAGCACCAGGGCTGGGCATTACCTGGGAGAGAGGAAGGAGGAGCTGCCAAAGCTGCTTTCCCCATTACACAAAGGGTCTGGGAACAGGTCGGCCTCGTTGCCCTCCCCGTAATCCTCGAAATGCTCCTCCCCGCTGATGACGGTGACAATGGAGTGGCTGAGCTCGGAGCCCAGGGCCAGCTCGTGGGGGTGGGACCTGGGGGAACAGACAGACAGAGGTTAGAGGGGCCACAGCAGCCTTTGCATTGCATCCTCCTTCTGAGTATGGGGTTTGCACTTGGCAGGGGAGCGGTGGATTCTGTGAGAAGCTGCTGGAAGCTTCCCCCATGTCCAGCATAGCCCATCCCTGGAAGCTTCCCCATATCCAGAGAGCCCATCCCTGGAAGTTTCCCCCATATCCAGAGAGCCCATCTCTGGAAATTTCCCCCATTCCAGCAGAGCCCATCCCTGGAAGTTTCCTCCATATCCAGAGAGCCCATCCCTGGAAATTTTCCCCATTCCAGCAGAGCCCATCTCTGGAAGTTTCCCCCATATTCAGAGAGCCCATCCCTGGAAGTTTCCCCCATATCCAGAGAGCCCATCCCTGGAAGTTTCCCCCATTCCAGCAGAGCCCATCCCTGGAAGTTTCCCCCATATCCAGCAGAGCCCATCCCTGGAAGTTTCCTCCATATCCAGCAGAACCCATCTCTGGAAATTTCCCCCATTCCAGCAGAGCCCATCCCTGGAAGTTTCCTCCATATCCAGAGAGCCCATCCCTGGAAATTTTCCCCATATCCAGAGAGCCCATCTCTGGAAGTTTCCCCCATATCCAGCAGAGCCCATCCCTGGAAATTTCCCCCATTCCAGCAGAGCCCATCCCTGGAAGCTTCCTCCTTGTCAAGCAGAGCCCATCCCTGGAAGTTTCCCCCATATCCAGAGAGCCCATCCCTGGAAACTTCCCCCATATCCAGCATAGCCCATCCCTGGAAGCTTCCCCCATGTCCAGCATAGCCCATCCCTGGAAGCTTCCTCCTTGTCAAGCAGAGCCCATCCCTGGAAGTTTCCTCCATATCCAGCAGAGCCCATCTCTGGAAGTCTCCCCCATGTCCAGCAGAGCCCATCCCTGGTGGCTCCAAGATGGACCTGCTGCTGGCTGAGGTTGTGCCCCCAGGAATGGCACCTCTGGGATAGCAGATTTGAGAGGGAAAACACAAAAAGGGGATGGGGCAGTGAACTGAGTGCAGAGAGGAGTGGGGTGAGGGCACTGGAGAGGAACAGCTCTGCAGGGCAGGGCAGGGCCAAGAGCTGCTCCAGGCACCAGAGCTGAGATTGCCCTGAGATTCCTGGGATGACCCTGAGATCCTGTGCCCATGGGGAGGCAGCTGTGCCCCAGCAGCCCATGGAGGGCAGGGAGGAGCAGAGATGCACCTGCAGCCCCTGCAGGAGCCCAGGCCTGGAGCAGGGGGTGCCTGAGAGGGGCTGTGAGCCCATGGGAAGCTGTGCTGGGACAGGGTCCTGCAGATCCATAGAGCCCACACAGGAGCAGGGTCCTGGCTGGATCTGTGACCCTGTGGGGGACCCAGGCTGTGCCTGAAGGAGTGACCCCACAGCAGTGACACACGGGGCAGCAGTTCCTGGAGAACCCATGGGATGGACTCAGGCTGGAGAGGCTCAGGGAGAGCTGTCTCCTGTGCAAGGGACCCACACTGGGGGCAGGGGCAGGACTCTGACTCCTCTCCCTGAGCAGTGGCTGGAACAATTTGTGATGAACTGACCACAACCCCCACTCCCATCTCCCTGAGCATTGGGGAAGAAGGGGGAACTGGGAAGGAGGGATGATGGGGGGGTGAATGCTTTTTTAAGGTCTGATTTTACTTCTCATTATCCTGCTCTGATTTTGTCAGTAATAAATCCAATTAATATCCCAAATTTGAGCCTGTTTTGCTCATGATGGTATTTGATGAGTGATTTCTCCCTGTCCTTATCTCAACTCATGAACCCTTTGTTATATTTTCTTTTCCTGTCCATCTCTGGAGGGCAGGGATGGAGCAGCTTTGGTGGGTTCCTGGTGTCCAGCCAGGGTCAACCCACCCCACCAAGTGAGTGATGTCCAAGTGAGTGATGTCTCCCATTTTGGCAGAGTAGGACAGGACAGAAACAGCCCAGGCACCACTGGGTAATTTATGGTGATTTTTTACCCCAATAAACCAAGTTTTTCCACTGACAGCTGCAACTGGGGACACTCAGACTTGCAGGACAGTGGCCAGGGTTGGTGACAAGCCCTTGCTTGACTAAAACACCAATTTCTGTGATTGGCATGGCAGAGAAAGAGCTGGGCATGTCCCAGCCCCATCCCAAATGCTGTGAGTTCCACAGCAGCCTGTGCCAGGCTCACACTTGCTCGTTGCTGCCTAATCCTCTCAAGGCTTTAACCCCATAGCCCAGGGGGATTGGTGCTGGGGAGGGGAGGGCTCAGGCAGCTGGGACAGACCCCCTGCAAGACAAAGGAGCCCTTTCCCTGCTCCTGCTGGGAACACACTGTGTGTGACAATGCTGCAGTGGGGAATGCTGCTCCATGTATTTTTAACACCAGAGCCAGGAGGCTGCAGTGTTTAAAGGCTTGGTGTAAACCCTGAACACACCCAGCACAGCTCCTGGGATGTCCCTTACTCCTGTGGGGACACAGCTCAGCACAGAAAAGCTCTGGAAGAGCCTTTCCATTGCATGAAGACACAGAACCCTGGAATGGTTTGGGTTGAAAGGATCTTAAAGCTCATCCCATCCCACCTCCCGCCATGGCAGAGACACCTCCCACTGTCCCAGGCTGCCCCAAGCCCCATCCAGCCTGGCCTTGGGCACTGCCAGGGATCCAGGGGCAGCCACAGCTGCTCTGGGCACCCTGTGCCAGGGCCTGCCCACCAAGCCAAGCTCTCTTTCCTGCCCTATGGAAGTTTTCAAATTAAGCTGGAGAAAAGGCAGGAGGGATTTGCAACAAACAGGCTGTGAAAGCAGCCACGGGGCTGTGAGCCACAGCTCTGTGTTTTGGGGGGTTAACCATGCTCTGCTCTCCAAAATTCTAGGCTAAAAATCATAATAACATTGCTTTATTACAAAAATTTATACTGGCTATGTCCTTATCTCCATGCACTTGCTAGCAGAGGGAAATGGGATATGAGCAGATTGCTGGACTAAACCAGAAAGAAAAAAAGATTACAGATAAGCCATTTATGACAAAAAACCTGCTCCATCTGAAGGATTTGCCCTTATCCTGCTAATATAAACATGTCAACCCTCCAGATCTCTATTTAATCACAAATAAATCCAGCCCAGCTTGTGGGCATCTGCACAAACTCCTCCTGCCCTTGGAAGCACCAATATTCCACAGTGGGATCCACTGGAACCCATCCATCCCTGTGGTGAGTCAGACTTTCACCAAAAGCAGTGGAAATCTCTCCAGGAATAGAAGCCAGGGGGTGGAATTGATAATTCAAAAACAAAACCCAAGCCCAGAACTCTAAATTTGGGGTTGTGGTTTGATAAGCACTGTACAGAAGCAGATCTGATCAGGCACCTGGAAACCCTCAACCTGGGAAGTAAATTATATTTCTTATTCTCATCTCAAGGCTCAGGATCCAGAGTCCAACTAATCTTCAGTACACACAGCCTAAACAAGCTTTAAGCTCAAACCATTTCAGGTATGTTGAGCTCTGAGAGCCCCTGAGAAGTGATGCTGAAGCTCTGATTCAGCCCAGCAGCTGCACTGGAGGAACTGTACTCCCAGGCTGTCCCTGAGCACCAAAGGTGTCCTCCTGTGTGGGGTCTGATGGCACCAAAACCAGCCCTCAGCACACCCATAGGTTTCCATTTCAAACCTTTCAAATCTATAAATCTAATGAAGTTTTTGGCTGCCTAGAATTTGCACACATTGAACAATCTGGGAAAAGGCTTGGACAGGGCACACAAAGGACATCTGACCTTCCCAAGCCCACAGCTGGGGTAACAGGGAATCACAGAATGGTTTGGGTTGAAAGGATCTTAAAGCTCATCCCATCCCACCCCTGCCATGGCAGGGACACCTCCCACTGTCCCAGGCTGCTCCCAGCCCTGCCCAGCCTGGCCTTGGGCACTGCCAGGGATCCAGGGGCAGCCTCAGCTGCTCTGGGCACCCTGTGCCAGGGCCTGCCCACCCTCACAGGGAACAATTCCCAATTCCCAATATCCCATCCATCCCTGCCCTCTGGCAGTGGGAGCCATTCCCTGTGTCCTGTCCCTCCATCCCTTGTCCCCAGTCTCTCTCCAGCTCTCCTGGAGCCCCTTCAGGCCCTGGCAGGGGCTCTGAGGTGTCCCTGGAGCTTCTCCTCTCCAGGTGAGCACCCCCAGCTCTGCCAGCCTGGCTCCACAGCAGAGGGGCTCTGGAGCATCCCTGTGGCTTCCTCTGGACTCTCTCCAACAATCCCATCCTTCCTGTCCTGCTGACCCCAGCCTTGGCAAGCATGGGGACCAGCTGCTCTCCCCCATTTTTCCAGGCAGTTCTGGACCTACAGGCAGGTGAATCCTCTCCCCAGGTAGTTCTGTACCTATAGGCAGGTGAATCCTCTCCCCATGTCCCCAGGCAGTTCTGTACCTACAGGCAGGTGAATCCTGTCCCCAGGCAGTTCTGTACCTACAGGCAGGTGAATCCTCTCCCCTGTTTCCCCAGGCAGTTCTGTACCTACAGGCAGGTGAATCCCAGGCAGGCTGCCTTCCCCAGCGGGCGGGAGCGCACGCAGGCTGCCATGGCCCTGCAGGGACCCCGTGCTGCTGGCAGGGAGCTCTCAGCTGATTATCTCCCAATTTAACTGTCACTGAGCTGGCCTGCTGCAGTGAGAAGAGCCCAGCTGGATAATCCCATTTCTGCTCTAATCCACAGCACCCTTTCAGCCCCGGGCCTGGTGCTGCTTGCTGTCTCTCTGGTGTTCCCAGATGGGATTTTGGGGTAGGAGGGAAGCTTGGAGCTCCCAAAAAGCAGAGCTGGAAGCACTCCCTGGAGCACCAACTCTGGGCCTTGTGTTTTGGGACAAACCTCATCCTGTGTGTGACAGACCTTAAGCAAAGGGGATTCCAGAGGTTTGGTGTAGGTTGGTGCTCTTGGGGCACTAATCTGGCACTGGTAGATGGACTGACATGTCCAGGATGGGGCTTGGAGAAACCTTGTCTAGTGGAAGGTGTCCCTACCCATGGCAGAAGGTGGAATGAGATGAGCTTTAAGGTCCCTTTCAACTCAAACCATTCAGTGATTCTGATCCTAAAGGACTTCTTCCCTGCCCTCCTGCCTGCCAGCATCCCAGTTTCACCCCAAACCCCACTTTTCCTCCAAAAATGGGGTGGGCCCAGGAGCAGTTTTGCCAGCAGCAGTTCAGACCCAGGGAAGGAGATCTTGGCTCACATTTCTGTGCTCCAGGCAGAGGTTTCAAACCAGTTATTACAGGAGGTGGTTGCACATCAAAGGGCACATATGTTTTTAGGGAAAACAAAAATAGAACGAGTTCCCCTCCTGACTGGAAAATTATATGTTGTGTTTCTGGCTTAAGTGATAGATTAAAAACTGCAAGTCTTTCAGGTGTTTGGATCACCTGAGAAGTTATTTTAGAGGTTAAAGATGCTAATGAGGGTACAGAAGATCTCCCAAGGCAAGCAACGATTAACTCAAAGAGATTGCCAGGCTGGGCTCCAAACCAGCCTACACAAACCAGCCTAATTATTCTCCTTATTCCTCCAGAAGAGCTATTTTGGTCTTGCACGTTGTTACAAACACAAAATGATGCCTCAGGTTTTAGCTTTTATATTTTTCATAATCTGTATGACTTTAGTGTGTGGGTCTGGGATTTGTATTAGGGGATGGTAAGCTCTCCGCACAGAGTAGGGAGACAAAACAATTCCTTCTCTAGCTGGGGATCAAGGACAAACGATCCAAATCTCATGCCCAAGAGCACGAATAACATGGACTGAAGAGAGAAAAACAAGGAGGATGGGACTGCATGGGCTGGGGGTATAATTGATGAATTAAGTCCAATATGCAAATGGAGCAGAACTTATAAACGTGACTGGTTGTTCATTTTGTGACCATTTTGGTTCACCTTGGGTGCAGCCCTGGCTGGGCTCTCGTGCTGCCCAAGGTGCATCCATTGAGCCCTCCTAACAAATCCCTGCTTTATTCTGTAACTCTGTCCAGTCTCTGCTCTAGGTCAGCCTGCAGAAGGCATCAGAAGAACAAGCCCAATTTCCAGCAAGACAAACTGGGTGTGAAAGCCTGGGGCTGTGCGTCCCCCATGCCCTGGGTGGGGTTTCTCCTCACCCATGCTCCGGCTCCTCGATGGGATCGGTGAACTCCGAGTGCACGGCGGAGTCGATGGCGCTGTCGGTCTCCACCTCGTCGTGCATCTCGTGCTGCACCAGGGTGCTGGTGTCCTCATCTGTGAAGGTCTCACACTCGCTGTAGGTGCTCTCTGAGCCCATGTAGGCACTGTCAGTCACCTCATTTGCCTGCTTAAAACAAACACACAAGAAGCAAAACGATAAGATTCTACAGCCGAGTGGGTTCGCGGCAGAATTTCGGCTGTGTTGCATTTCTGAGCACAGGAATCCAACTTCTGGAATCACCCCAGGCCCAGGTGCTGCTCTGTGGGCACCACAGGGTGCACCTCAGCCTTTGCAGGGCTTGGGAAGCAGATCACAGAAAGAGGGACTAAATAAGAGTTGGAGGGAGGTTTTGTTGTGAGCCAGGATGGATTTGGCCAGGGCAGGAGGGATTACCCACTGCTGACTCAGCAGTTCCCATCACTGCTGCTTTCTCCCACCCCATTCCAAGAGGACATGTTATTATTAATCTGAATTCCCTGCAAAAATCACCATTCAAAACTCCTCAATTAGCCCTTGGAGCACCTTTTTTTTTTGTCCTGTCTGGTAAAACCTTCCATCCCTCAACAGCAAATAAACTGTTTGCAAATCTTCATTACAGCTTCTGATTTGCAGGGACTCAAATCCCCACACTTCAGCTGGAGCAGCATCTCAAATCCATTTGGGTTTGTGTTTTAAGATTTATGGAGCAAGGAGAACTGAGTTTTCCAGTTCTGCACCCCAGGCAGGCTCAGCTTCAGTCCTGCCTGTTTGCTCCTACACACAGGCAGGGACAATCTCTTCTGATGCTCATCTCTGGAGAACCATGGCAACAGCAGCAGAACCCCCCAAAAGCCAAAGCTCTTGTTCCCCCTCACAGTGCCAGCCCCTCTCCTAAGATTTGGGGATTTCCCCAGCATGCCTTGGAGCAAATGAAGGAATTTTGAGATTGCCAGTGCTGGTGCTGAGCTCCAGCTGATCCCCTGTCACTGGGCAGAGGGGTGGGAGCCCTCCTGCCAGGCCTCCAGGTGAAGAGCTGCCCATGGAAAGCCTTCTGCTCCTCCTGAAGTTCACCTGGTGGGATCCCACATGCACAGCTGCCCCTCCAGCACAGCAGCAGAGCAAAAGAGCAGCAGTTTGAATGCAGGCATGACTGAAGCAAAACCTTTTTCCCCTGCCAGGGCACACAGAACAGCTTTTAGGGCTTTTTCCAAGGATTTTGGAGAAAATCACGTTTATCAAAGCACTGTATTCATAAAATCATGGAGTGGTTTGCGTTGGAAAGGACTTTAAAGCCCATCTCATTCCACTCCCTGCCTATTCCACTACCCCAGGTGGCTCCAAGCCCCACCCAGCCTGACCTTGGACACTTCAAGGGGCAAAAGGGGATAGAAAACCCTGAAGGGATGGAGAGAGAGCTGACACCAGCAATTCCCACTCCATGTGGCCACTGGGAGCAGCCTAGTGCCTCAGCCCAGCCCTGCTTTGCTCTCCCAGCCCTGTGCCCACCACACTCAGCAGGATGGACACAGCCAGGAGCTCCTCTTGGAAGCCTGGCTCAGCTCCCACCTGGTTTGTGGACACCAGCACCTCCCTGAAGTTAAACACAACACAAACCTGCCCAGAGCTGAAGTCAGGGGTTGCTCCAGGGAACTCCACCAGGCAGAGCCTGTGCCTGTCTTACAGAGAGAAACAAAAGCCTCTAAAGCCCCCAGCCACTTAAAAAAGCATCAATCCACCAAAACCACTTACACACCTAAAGCTGGGACTTGCTTAAGTGCTTTACTGGATTTATGCTGCACTTTCTAGAAACACCATTAATGCTCCAGCAGGAGGGACAAAGGGAAGGAGAGGCTTGACCTGCCTTGGCTTGGTCACAGACAGAGAGAGCCCAAGAGGTGACAGCAGCCACCCCCAGCTGCACATTCCCCTCCCTTCTGCCTGTTTGAAAAGGATTTCATGCCAAACTGGAAAGAATTTTGCTTGCACACTACAAAATAAAGGCTGCTTTTAAATACCAACCCCGCCCCCCTCCTTCTCACTGGAAAAGCTTACATTTAAACACAGGTTGAAGTATTATAATGAGCAAACTGAAGTATTATAATAAGCACAGAGTAAAGACAACTATTGAAAGAAGTCAGAAAAACTCCAATTCACAAATAATTTGATTAGAAACCCTGCTGTGGTTACTGCTGACCCTCTCAACATGAAGCAAAGCAGGAGCTGAACAGTGCCCTCAGTCAGATGGTGGAACAAGAGGACCTTTAAGGTCCCTTCCAACCCAAACCATGCCATGGTTCTATGATTTCTCTATCAAATTGTTCCAAAACACCTTATTGGTGGGAAATACACACATGGACAGGCTGGATTTGGGAGCAACCCTTTTGGAGTAGGAGAAGCACAGGACACCAACCATTGTCCCTCAGCCACACCAAAGATATGCATCAATTTATTACCTAAAAATCGAATTTTTCCTTTGTGATACCAGCCTAGATGAGGTTTCAAAAGCAAGAGAGCCCTATTAAAATTAAACCTGTGTGGACAATGAGTTAAGAAGCAGCTGAAATTGTAAACAAAGTCCTTCCCCTGAGCACGAGCGTGGAGAACTTTGCTGCACATTTCACCACAGAATCAGTAACTAAACCTCAGGAAGAGATGCCAGGAGGAGATAGGCAAACCAAGAGGGTTCAGGTATTGCCAAATGCCTGACAGAGCCAAATCTCTGTCCCTGGGCAAGTGTGTGGGTACAGAAAGTTCTTATTTCTGGCCTCATGAGCAGCTGGTTTGTGCACTGACCCTTCAAACCCCCCTGCCACAGCTCTCCTTCAGCCAGCTTTGCCTTCCTGTGAGCAGAAAGTAAATATTTTTTCCAGCTTAAAAAAAGCTAAATACACACTTAAAAAAACATCCATGGGCTCAGGACAGCCAGGCTGGGCTACACCCACCCCAGAGGACTTGCCAGGAACATCAGTGCCATGTTCAGAGTGGGGCTGGTGTCACCAATATCAGTGCATTTTGATTTTTTGTCCAATAAAACACACCATGAGGTGCTTCAGGCAAATTCAGACATTAAAACTGGGACTGAGGCACACACAGAGTTCTGAGCTGGAACAGGATCAGGGTTTGATGGAGGTACCAATCCCAAATCCAGCAGGTATTTCCCCAGAGCCACACCTGGCTGACAGGACAGGGGCCACCCAGAGGCAGCTCTGCCTGCTCAGGGAAGCTCCAGGGATCTGAGAGCCCAGGTGAGCACTCCTGCTTCTAAAAGCAAATAAATGGTGAAGTCAGCACTGGGATGATGTAACATGCCCTGATGAAACACGTGAGGGGCCTTTAGGAGCCTTCTCCAGCAGCAGCTCATCCATCCCAGGCATCTGATGACATCTGGGAGTAAAGATTACTCAATTAGATGTTGTAGAGTGCTATAAAACTATATGGAAAAACTTTTTTTTTAAAAAAGCTGCTGCAGTGTGAGGAGACGAATTCTTGGGAATCACCTGCAAGGTCCAGGCAGGGACAGAAGGTTCAGCACAAGCTCAGCCAAAGCGTTGCCTTGGAAAGGAGGGCAAAGTCTGGCTCGCTGGGAGGTTCCTTCCAGGCAGGGCTGTCCCTGGAGCTGTCCTGGCATCCCAAAGCTCTGCTGTCCTTGAACACACTCTGAAGGTTGGGAGGGGAAGCGAGTGACAAGGAAAAGGAAAAACAACTCTGTTTTGCCAGCAGTGTGAGCCTGTTCCTAAAGAATCCAGCCCTGATTGTGCACAGGATGCAGAGGAGATAGATCAGCTACAAAAATCCCCCTCCAAGGACACCCTGTGTCCCTGACAGTGGTGACAGTGCCAGGCTGGGAGCCAGGGAGAAGGGACACTGTTGTGTTTATAGTCCCACATGAATGCAGCTGGCCCCAGGACAGCTCAGCCTCAGGGATGCCACTTTGGGTCCCAATATTGCCCTCTTCCCACACACCAGGGCAATGCCAGCTTTTCAAGGAGCCCCTGCTCAGCCCTGGCTGAAGGCAGCTTGCACAGCTCAGCCCCTGGAGGTGGGGATGTTACACTCCATCAGGGCTGGGCAAGAGAAACATGCTGCATCTGTTTGGGCAAATCGAAAACTCACCCAACCCAAAACCAAACCCCAAACCAACTCACAAAACACCACAGCTGGCAGGATGTCCCCAGCACCCCAAAAACCAGCAGGCACCGTGCCTGCTGGTCCAGCTCCTCAGGGAGAGCAGGCAGAGAAGAGTGAGAAGTTACACCACAGCCCATGGAGTCACAGAATTGTGGAATGGTTTGGGTTAGAAGGGACATTAAAGTTTTGCCCAGTCCCACCTCTGCCATGGACAGAGACACTTTCCACTATCCCAGCCTGCTCCAAGCCTGCCTTTTGACACTTCCAAGGATCCAGGGGCAGCCACAGCTTCTCTGGGCACCCTGGCCAAGGCCTGCCCACCCTGCCAGAAAACAATTCCTTCCCAATATCCCATCTAAATCTCTCCTCTTTTAATCTAAACCATTCCCATGAAAAAAAATCAGGTGGATCTGCCCATGTAACAAGTCAGGTGCATTCCTCGCACCTCCAGGGCTGAACCCGATCCCTCTGGAAATCCAAGCCCTCCTCACTTTGTGTCAGCTCGCAAAAACCCACCTGTGGAGACATCCTGTCCGGAGGCAGAGCCAGCTCCGGGAGCGGCGTCTGCGAGGCAGGAGGGAAGCAAAGTCCAGGGGAGCCGAGAGGCTTAAGGAGCGAGCTGGAGTCCCGACAGAGCGCCTTTTGTTCCCGAGCTGCCGATAAGGAGCAGAGCTCCGGCTCACTTCCCTGCCGGTGAGCGCAGCCTCCTCCCGCTCCCCTGGATTCCAAAATAAAAGCTCGTTTGGGAGCGCTCCGGGTGCTCACACTTCCCAGGAATCCATCCCCAAAGAAAAATCTGAATCTGAAAGCGACCTGTCGAGGTTTATCTCGGCCTTCCTGGTGTTTCTGGTGAATAATTAAGCGTTAAGTGACAAATTCCTTCCTTATAGCCACGAATAGAGCGATGTATAAAGCTTGGATTGCTCACCAGGGGCAGGTCAGAAGCGCTTTGGTGACTCAGAAGATGGTCTCTGGCAGGCAGTGACAGTGCTGACCCCAAAGAAGGTTATAACCAG